GCATATCAGTATGCACCATACAAGTGATGGGGTGTGTCTGAGGAATGGGATACTATCCGGTTATCCAAATTGAATCAGATGGTTCTCTGGTGGTGTTTCGTTCTCTGAGCTGGATGATGTTTTGGTTGTGGAGCTTTCATCATTGTTTTGTTTGTGAACAACATCATAATTAGCACAAACTTCAGGTAGAGAAGTGGAGTATTCTAGTTGCTATCTGGGTGACTTGTAGCCTTCCCTATTAACCTCCATCTTGATTGGTTGCTGTCGTTGTTTGCACCTTCGCCTTGATTTTATCCCCCTGTTGATCTGTTTCTTGATCCTATGTTTGTGTTATGCCTGCACGTAAACACGTAAACTTGATATACTTGAACTATTACAAGTTTACCTAGTCGGAAAACGAGAGCGAGGATCTGGCGACACGACAGGCTACTCTAATCCGATTATCCTAACCCCCCATTGAGTGCAAGAAGAAGACTTGATATGAAGTAGAACCTGTATTCTACAAGCATCCAGAAAGTACGAGGTCCGCATCCAGAAGAGAATCAGGATCCCGGACTAGGGACCCTGGTCCTGGTCATAAAACGTTACAGATAATGCATATTTAAACATTTAGGTCCAATAAGAAACAGTATCGAAGTCTGTGACATTGACAGTTAAGACGATGTGACATTGATAGTCAGGACAACCAATAAGAAACAACAATGAAGTACGTGACATTGATATCTAGGATGACCATAAAATTGACCAATAGGAATAGACCAATAATTCTTTTAGGATATTGGATGAATATCCTAACCGTTTGCCTATGATTTGTCTGATTGGTTGATAAGCCGGGTCAGTGTCGATGTGTTTATTGATTGCCGATTAACCTTAGTGCCATGCTTCTAGAAATTCTCTAGTGTTCTTTGTGCTCCCCCTATTCAGTATTTCCACATTGTTCCAATCAAACATATGTCCATAGTTGTCCGTAACTATTGATATCAACGAAGAAATGTCGTGGTGTTTGACTGCTAATTGATATTCACGTAAACGTAGCTTTGTGAAGCTCAGAGAACGAAACACCACCACCATAAGCATCCATCTGAACTACAAATTTTCTTCATCATCTCAAAATATTTAAAATGGACACATACAAAACTGAATATTTGACATTGGCAAATAAAATTTCGCCATGGGGATTGCATTGAAAGTGTAAATGTTTTAAAGTATATCTATTTTTACAATTGGTCGATCGATCAATGGGTGAATAGAAGCCAATATCCTATATGTTTCTCGTCCTTTTGTGATGATTGAATTAGTATCGACCAATTTTTTGATTATATTGTACTCGATTTTTACTCACTTGAAATAATGGCCACATCACATCTTGTTTGATAGAATCCTAACAACTCCGAGTAAGCAATGCAACCGAGTATGCAATGCTGTCGTTAGGAAATGGGTGCTAGGTAAGGATGGCAGATCAGTAGATGAAGTATTGAAACTTCATCAGTTGAGGTGGTTGGGACATGTGTTATGTATGGCTAACCACCGACTGCCTCGACGAGCTATGTTTTGTAGTGTAGGAGTAGGTTGGAAGAAAGCTAGGGGCGGCCAAATCAAAACATGGCAGAAATCCATGAAGTCATTGACGAGTGGACTGTGTCATGGTGGTAGATGTAGTCTACCTGGTTGGGGTCCGCGAGACGAAAGTCATCAATGGTTAGAGACCTTGAACGACATGGCTCAAAATTGTTTGCAAAGGCGCCGGTGCATTTATTCTTTGTGTTCTCTCAAATCCTAATCTTCTGGATTCGTCAGCACCTCAACCCTTGTCTTTCTAACCTTATCTCACTGAATTGTGCTTCTTGAATAATATCTTCAAACCCTAATCTTCTTCATTACCATTAATACCTTTACTATCTTTATCGCTATGGGATTTGATTTGACATTTGCGTCTCTGTGTTAATGTGGTATGGCAACCGGAACTTACGTACATACGTACGAAGTTCTACGTTGCAACTGACTGACTGACTATCAACTCTAAAAAAGACTATACAAACATTGATGTCTCTGTTTAGTGATCAGTTGTTGCCTGTACATATCTCTCATTTGTACTCAGTAGGTTAATCGCGCCTCGAATACACCTCAGTTATAACTTCGTTGCTTAGAGTGAAATTGAGTGATAAGGGTTTAAAAATCACACAGAATACATTAGTTTTTTTTCTCTGGAGATGGCAAAGACTCCTTATTGATGAGTGGGAAAGAATTGCCTGAAATCTAAGCACAGGATTTCATGTAACATCACTGATCTGTTACCAAGTTTTCGCTCATTTTTTTATTGATGAGACAGTTGTCTGTCTTATACGAACTCGTTTAGTTAGTTGGATGTAATATATGTTGAAAGAAAGCTGGCCAAGGCCAAACCAAAACATGGTACAAATCCATGAAGTTACTGACAAGTGGTACAGAGTCATGTTGGCAGGTGCAAACTACCTAGTTTGGGTCCAGTCAATCAGTTGCAACGTAGAACTTCGTACGTATGTACATAAGTTCATGTTGCCATACCACATTAGCACAGAGACGCAAATGTCAAATCAAATCCCATAGTGATAAAGATAGTAGAGGTATTTAATGGTAATGAAGAAGACTAGGGTTTGAAGATATTATTCAAGAAGTATAATTCAGTGTGAGATAAGGTTAGAAAGACAAAGGCAGAGGTGTTGACGAATTCAGAAGATTAAGATTTGAGAGAGCACAACGAATGAATGCACTTGCGCCATTGCAAGCGATTTTGAGCCATGTCGTTCAAGGTCTCTAACCGTTGGTGACTTTCGTCTCGCGGACCACAACCAGGTAGTCTACATCTATCATCATGACTCAGTCCACTCGTCAATGACTTCATGGATTTCTGCCATGTTTTGATTTGGCCGCCCCTAGCTTTCTTTAAAGCTACTCCTACACCACGAAACATAGTTCGTCGAGGTAGTCGGTGGTTAGGCATACGTAACACATTTCCCAACCACCTCAACTGATGAAGTTTAATTACTTCATCTACTGATCTGACATCCTTACCTAGCACCCGTTACCTAATGACAACATTGCTTACTCGGCTGTCCCACGGTATACGAGCAATACTTCTTAAACATCTTTGATCGAATACTAGTAACCTGCGAACATCTACTCTTAACGGCCATGTTTCTCATCCATATACGAGAATAGAGCGAACTGCTGCGCAGTACACCCGTCCTTTGATCAGCGAACGGATATCTCGCCTACGCCATAAGTTTCGCAGGTTGGCAAAAGCCAATCGAGCTTTCTGTATCCGAGCTGAGATTTCGTCAGTCACCAGGCTATTAGCACTGATGAGACTCCCCAGATAAGTGAAGTGATCTACACGTTCGACTACTTCACTCCCTATCACTAGTTCGGGTGCCGATTCAACCCAGTCTTGAAGCAACATTTTGCATTTCGAGGGAGAAAACCGCATCCCGAACATGCTCGCATTGTTGCTTAGGGTCGTCAGAAGATTGCATGCTGTCAGCTTCTTCACCAAATAGGACTATGTCATCGGCATATTCTAGATCAGTAAGCGGATTTCCTGATAGAAGGTCAACCCCTGAAAAATCTGACGAGCTTAATGTTAACTCTAAGAGGATGTCTACGACAAAGTTAAACAAGAATGGAGAGAGTAGTTTGTGTCCGCGAGATGATAACAACCAATGGTTAGAGACACTAGAGGACATTGCTAAAAATCGTTTGCAATGGGCTCATGTACATCCATTCCTTGTGTTCTTTCAAACTGTAATCTTCAGAATTTCTTATGACCATTTATTTTCTCTCTTTTAAATTGATTCCTCTGAGATATAGTTGTTGAATAATATCTTCGATTACTAATCTTCCTGATTATTGCTTATACTTCTACTACATCTACTATTATGGGATTTGAATTAACTATTCCATCTCTCTGTGCTAATGTGGTTACGGTCACTTGAACACTGATGTACTCGTAGTACTGTAGTTAGTTGTGAACTCTCTTGCAATCAACTATTTGTAACCATTTGAATAACAAAAGCCTTCACTTGTTTCTCAACTGATTCTTAACTATCAGTTTCACTTGTTAGGATATTCACCTAATTTCCTATGAAGAATCATTTTGTATGTGTAAATTCTATTGGTCGATTCCTATTGGTCAATATTATAGTCGTCCTAGCTATCAATGTCACGTACTTCAATGTTTTTTCGTATTGATCGCCTTAAGTGTCATTGTCACAGACTTCGATGCTGTTTCCTATTCAACCTAACTCTATAAATACGCATTATCTGTAACGTTTTATGACCAGGACCAGGGTCCCTAGTCCGGGATCCTGATTCTCTTCTGGACTCTAACCTCGTACTTTCTGGAACTTTTTAGAATACAGGTTCTACTATAGTGAACGAGAACACAGGTGAGGACAACCGAATTGTATTTAACGAAAATTACAGGGTTACTCAGTAAAATAGGAAAACCGTATCGTAAATCGTTGTTAATTTGCAAAATATCAGTTCATCATCATATCGATCTGGACTGTTCCTGTTGCAAAACATCAATCCATTGTCACTATTCATGCGTTTCATACAAATTCCATTGTGTTCTAACTCTTCCTTTCTTGTTGATCTTCCCCCATCTTCTACTGACAGACATTACGTTGACACTCACGTCATATACTACTTATAAGTAGCTCGCACCACGCTACTTCATATCAAGTTTTCTTTTTGCATTCAATGGGTGTTGGGACACTCGGATTAGAGTAGCCTGTCATGTCGCCGGATCCTCGATCCTCTCTCTCGTTTTCCGACTAAGGGGTAAACTCATCATACATAGTTCAAGCATATCAAATTGACATGTTTACGTGTATGCGTAATATCAACACACACGGCCTCTCAATCCGACTATGTTAATTTGATGATGATGATGATTTCAACTGCCATTATTATCTCCTAATGGTTTTTTCTCCCTCTCTCTCTGTGTTAATTTATGTCAGTTTTTTAGTCCTGCACATTCAATATTATTTGGTGTTAATTTCGCTGAATCCGATGTAGTGCAATTTCGTGAAGCTTGCACTGAATTGGAAAATTCAATCAAGAGTAAATATTTCACTGGTTAGTTAGTTGGAAAAGTTATTTGGTCTGTTTACTTTTACTATTTATTATTTTCAAATTTTCATTGCTGATCTCATCTTCATTGTAAGTAGTTTCATTCAGGAATTTAAAGACATAACGGGCGGGGAGCTAGACAGAAGTATCTTTTGTCCTGGTATGTGTGTTGGAGACATTGGTTCCCCAGAACTCGCTTGTTAAAATGCCCTCATTTTGGATTTTACGTTTCCGAGCATGTGCTGATCAGTTGACCTTGAGATTTCAATTCCCAGCGGGAAAATCCATGGCTGTGATTGGCTGCTGTGTATTTTAGTGTGGTATTTTTGTGACTGTCCCAAGTACGTTTCTATGATGTATAAATAAACGAGAGTTGTGTGCTTGATTGTACTGTGATTGTTGGGTGTTTGTAGAATATACTTTCTACACTTACAAAGCCTTCTTACTTTATTTGGGGATTCAAGGTAGTCTACCTGGACGCTGGTTCATTGTCTCGTTCGTGTTGATCGACTAAGGTAAACTCGTAATAGCCTCAAGAGTACCTAAGTGACGAACCCAATAAATAATTCTCGATGATCCTGAAAAAAATATCGATATTCAAAGTAATTCATTTTTTTCCTATTGAAAAAAAACGTATCGATTAATTCTAGTCTATTTATAATTCTTTTGAATATATTACCTTTTTCTCTATTCAGGAAATCAATTGAGCTTGGCCGATTTGATCCTCTTTCCCTTGATTGATTATTTCGAAATAGTTTTCAGTGTTATACATAACATCAATTGTGATCAAGTGTACGAAGTTAAAACAGGCGATAAATTATATAACGAAGCTAATAAATGGCCTAATTTACTGAATTATTTAACTACAATGCGACAAGAATCGTTTGTGGCTGATACGCGAATATCAACTAACATGAAAGCGAAATATGCTGCTTCTAAACGATCCGGTTGTCCAAATCCTGAAATCCAATAGATTGGTAGATTGGTGGTAGATCAATTTATTGGTTTGTTTTTTTCTCCTCGCTCGCTTCAATTTAATCTGTACACCTTCAATCTACTTGTTGTTGTTCAGTTGGAATATTCTCACATTTTCATGAGAAAAAAAAATCGACAATGCTCACCGATCAATGTTCAATTTTTATGCATGAAATTGTTTTAATTTTTGTTGTAATTTATTGTATCAGTTTTGAAATTCAGCATTTTTTTCTAAAAAAATATATATTGTTTTTTGTTTGTCCTACGTAAGTCCTACTTCAGCCCATTCCATGTTATCACAATGTGAATTTGAATGAAATTTTAATAAAAAAAGACAATTTACATTGTTACTTTTATCTACTGTTTCTGTTATTTGACATTGAATAAATATCCTGTGTGGTTTTTATGAAATGCACCAATCAGAAACGAGCAATGTTCGACATTGTGATTGGTCAACAGGAGAGAGACAGCGTGAGAAATAAATGAAAAAGTTTTGATCTGGACTTTTGAGCATTGATCATAAAATTATTGATTAGAGTATAATCGATCGATTGATTATCTTTTAAGGTTTAAGCATGAATTAATTATCTACGTAACGGCTTTGTTTGTGAGAACTATTTTTTTTTATTCACATCAATGATAAACCGTGTACGACAAAATGATTTTTCTATCCGTTAAGCAAAAAACAATGGGATTATGGAGAATCCACTTTATATTTGCTTACAAGATCAATCCGTAAATAGTTCAATCAATCAAGAGCAACTTGGAACTACTTACGTACTTACATCAGTTCATGTTGCTATACCACATTATCACAGAGAGATGTAATTGTCAATTCAAATCCAACAGTAGTAGAGGTAGTAAAAGTATTGGCAGTTGTCGGAGAGGTAAGAATTAGAAGTAGAATCTAGTGAAATAGACTCAAAAAGATAAATATAAAGTGATGAGGAATTAAAACGTTTAGGATTCGGCAGAACAAAAAGAATGAATGCAGTTTCGCCATTTCAAACTGTTTTTAGCCATGTCATTCACGGTCTCTAAACATCGATTATTATCATCTCGTGGACACCAACCAGGTAGTCGACTGTAAATAGTTAAATCGTCTTTATACAGTTGCAATTTATTATCTCGAATTAATGTTACACTATTTGTTCTACAGTAAATACTCCATCCTAATTAGCCACTGTTTTTAGCCATGTCATTCAAGGTCTCTAACCATTGGTGACTATCGTCTCGCGAACCCCAACCATGTAGCCTACAACCACCAACATGACTCAGTCCACTTGCCAGTGACTTCAAGGATTTCTTCCATGTTTTGGTTTGGCCGCCCCTTACTTCCTTCCAACCTATTCCTAAACTACAAAACATAGCTCGTCGCGGCAGTCGGTGGTTAAGCATACGTAACACATGTCCCAACCACCTCAACTGATGAAGTTTCGCTACTTCATCTATTGATTTGCCATCCTTACCTAGAACTCGTTTCCTAACGATAGTATTGCTTACTCGGTCGACCCAGGATACACGAGCAATGTTTCGGTTATACCTATGATCGAAGACTAGTAACCTGCAAATGTCCTATTCCCTTAACGGCCATGTTTCGCATCCGTATAGTAGGACAGAGCGAACTGCTGCGTAGTACACTCGTCCTTTGCTTAACAAGCGGATATCTCGTCTGCGCCATAAGTGACGCAGGCTGGCAAAAGCCAGTCGAGCCTTCTGTATATATATATATATATATATATATATATATATATATATATAGCAGGTTGTTTCTTTTCTTTACTGTAGCCTAATTCTTCTAATTACCTTCAAATGTCTCATTCATTGTTATCAGTTTCTGAGATAAGGATTAGAAAGTCAGATGTACTGTTATAAATGTATGCTATTCACAATACCACTTTGAAAATGATGACAATTTTCCATATTGAATACTTTGGTAAACAGTTTATATCGCTTGGCTATTCAGCACTACAGAAACATTTCGTTTTAGCAAGCAACACTGAGTAAAAATACGATCTAAATGAGCAAGTTTTTGGTTTCATATTATAGTTCTGTGTTGTAACTGGTCATAACTGTACGAACCAAAGATTGACTGGTTACTCATTGCAGCTTCTAAAGGGTTTCAGAAAGGTTGGGTAATTTTCATTCATTATGTTAAAATAATTTCCCTATTACGGCTCTATTGATGTGTCTGCATTAAACAATAACTAAAGCTACCATTACTGATTCAAATAAAAAATTAGATTGGGAATGTCCTCAGACTACATAGGTCTGTCTTATCTTCTATCTCATTGCTTTGACATCGTGTAATACTCAAATAGTCGTCATATGTACCTGAGTCACTTATGGAGCAGGCGAGATATTCGTTTGTTGGCTAAAGGACGAGTCTGTTGCGCAGTAGCTCGCTCCTTCCTACTTTATGGTTGTGAAACATGACCAGTGAGAGTAGAAGATATTCGTAGGTTGCTTGTTTTCGATCATCGGTGTCTCCGAAGCATTGCTCGTGTATCCTGGGACAACCGAGTAAGCAATGCTGTTATTAGGAAACGGGTACTAGGTAAGGATGGCAGGTCAGTAGATGAAATAATGGAACTTCATCAGTTGAGGTGGTTGGGACATGTGTTACGTATGCCTAACCACCGACTGCCTCGACGAGCTATATTTGGTGGTGTAGGAATAGGTTGGACGAAATATAGGGGCGGCTAGACGAAATCATTGCACAAATCGATGAAGTCACTGACAAGTGGAATGAGTGATGTCGATAGTTGTCGACTACCTGGTTGGGGTCTGCAAGATGTTATTAATCGATAGTTAGAGTCCTTGAATGACTTGGCTCAGAATCGTTTGCAATGGCGCAGGGGCATCCACTCTTTATTTTCTCTCAAATTCTAACCTACTGAGTTCCTCATCACTTTATCGTTTTCTTTTAAGTTTATTTCATTAGATCCTACTTCTTGGATAATATCTTCGAACCCTAATCTCTCCGGTTACTGCTAATACCTTTACTACCTGTACTACTATGGGATTTGAATTAAAAATTGCGTCTCTGTGCTAATGTGGTATGGCAATATGAACTGATGTACGTACGTACGAAGTTGTACGTTGCTATTGATTGATTGATTTGCATACTGTACCTATAATTCCTGATTACTTGCAACTTAAGTAGGAATAATCTATTGTATCATCGTTACTTTGTATTTCAAATGGATATTAAGATTTTTTATCACACTAGGATAACCATTTTAAAAACTAACCTAAAATCCTTATTCGCTATGGCATTATTCTTAATAAAGTAACAATACAAGTAAAGGCAGTGAATTGAGATAAGAATAGCGACATTTCGTAGCTTATGAACCACATAAATATAGTGGTTATTTAGAAGGATGCTGCTTTGTTCGGTCTGTTTCATTGCCTGCATAAGATGTATGGAAAATAAATCCTTTCAGGACATCAATACTATTCATTTTGACACTAATTCTACTAATCATCAAGACGTCTTTGCTTGAAATGTTGTCCCATTTCAATGGTTTTAAGTCTAAAAACGGGTGATTCTTCAACTAATGCCATGGAGTACGAAATCTGATATCGATTTCTTGAATACGTTTGTAGGATTGAGATTCGGAACCATTGTTCTCAGTACGAACCAGATCTGGGAGCAGATAGGCTTGAATATATTTGTCACGTCTATATGAATCTATGGTTCATGTTCGAAATTTGTATTTAGAACTTTGTTTGTCATTATCGTTTGCGGTAGCGGCGTTGAATATTGTTGCTTTCATCGTCAAAACTGACACAAAAGTTATCGACTGGATTCCATGAATCGTTATTATGATCCTGTTAGACAGTTAGGTTCCGACGCAATGAGAAAGACTTGGTGTTTGGAAGGGTGTCCTACTTGAGTTTACAGTTTGACCGCCAATATGCGATCGTAGCAACGTAAATGATTAAGATTTACTAGAGAAGCTCCTATTAAGGGCGAGACATTATAACCAAAGCATTTATTCGCTTTCGCATTCTTGTGAACAATATATCTCCGATTCTCCAACGTTGAAAGATTTGTATTTAAATTAGGTTCAGTCCCATTCAACTGTATCGTGCTTTTGATATATGTATAGACAAAGGGTAAATTACGCTCCTACACATTCAGGTTAAGTCCTTCCAGACATTACATATTTACGTATCCTGCCAAATTCAAAGCCTGATTGTATCTGTCAGCGGTCTAGATACAGAGGGGAGTTGCTTATGTTTACAATACATGTTCACCTATTCTATGACACCTGAAACCCCTATATTCAGCTTTGTTCAGCCGAAAAAGTGTTGCCAGACAGCGTCAGCATTCGAGCAGTTACTGCCCGGCCACTACATGATTTATGGTTTTCGCAGCGCTTGAGTATACTCAGCATAAACACTCTTCAAATGGGCTGATAGTGTGGTGCTGTGGTGCGAACTACTTATAAGTAGTATATAGCGTGAGTGTCAACGTAAAGTCTGGTAGCATAATATGGGGGGAAGATCGAGAAAGGAAGAGTCAGAAAACAATGGAATTTGTATGAAAAGCATGAATAGTGACTATGGATTGATGTTTGGCAACAGGAACAGTCCAGTTCCATAGGATTAACTGGTCTTTAGCAAATGAACGATTTACGATATGGTTTTCCGATTTTACTGAGTAACTCTGTAATTTTCGTTAAATACAATTCGGTTGCCTCCACCTGTGTTCTCATTCACTACAATAGTACTGTAGATCAGCCCGCTACTAAAGAATTCTTCTGAACTTTAAACGATAACCTAGTCTGTTATATATATTTTTGTTTTCTGGCATAAGTTTTGTCTTTGACGTGTTGATACGGTTCAGTTCTCTGACAAGCAGAGCATTCTTAAATGCCGTGGCCAATTCACTTAAACAGACTGTCTTATACCTCATGACCGATTATTACTTCGTAGCCTAGAAAAGTACAGTTCTGAGGAGAAATTTCACTGCTCAGTCATGATAAGTGATTAAATCCAATAGATATGCACTTAGCTTTTCCGAATTTAGGATGAACTATCGGTCGGGTAACTCACTTTTTTGTGGGACACGCAGTGTATCCCAATTCAATATCTTTTTCAC